CGAGACTACCAGTAAATCAGAAAGGTTGTGTTTACCCTATTTTATTTGAGGTGATGAAGGATTGGTAGATGAATTGTTCCACAATAATGTGAGCATAGCTGACTCCCGCTGGGGGTCTAGATATTTGATGGCGCATGGTTGACGATTGCCTTTTTTATAATTACTCTGACTTATATCTGGTTCTCTGTACAAACGTTAACACACATAAACAGATACATTCGAGTAAAAGAAAATTAACCAAAGCATTGTATATACATCTATATCTAAAGCGATTTTACTCGTTATGATTATATATATATATATATATATATATCAAGTAGGAAAGGGCCGGCCAGTTTTCTTGATTTATTATTAACTTAAGACCTTTGCAAAAATGAGTCCCAGCCATGATGATGTTCGTCATATGGCGAACAAAAGATCAGTCCATTTTCGAAACGAAGTATGTCTCGTAGACTGCGTCAACCTGAACGACCTATTAAGGCTAAATGACTGTAGTACAACGAGAATCAGCCGTCGTCTTCTGGATAGATTGACCTACGAATCTCTTATCATGCACTTTCATACGAAATGTAAATCTCCATAACAATGTGAAAATAATACGGAATAAAATTAGTACAAGAAATCAATAAAGAGAAATACAAAATTTTTCGTGAACGTGTAACAATTAGTTCGATTATGTATTACAAGGAAAAAGGTAGAGATAAATGACCACTTACCGGTGCAGTTAAAGAATCATTAGGTCTGCTGAGACCGAAACGGTCGTAGGACGAAAAGCTTGTTTGTGTTAGCTCTTGAAGAGTAGCTTGTACCAAAGCTGCTTTAGAATCAGCCATTTGAAGTCCCTCAGGACTCCACCAGCCGGCAACATCTGCATTCTCATCAAGGCAGTCCGAATCAGCATCTTCATATCCTGCAAGCCTATCATTCTCGACAAAATTAACATCATCTTCATCACCTAACCCCTCTACTTCCTCTTGTGAAAAAGCATCGTCCAACGCTTTATCAGCTTCTTGAAGTTCTATTACTGAGGACTTCGCGTGTTTTAAAGTGATGTCAGCAATATCACTTTCAGTTGCTTCATTAACCATATTATTTTTGCTGTTTCGAGTGTTAAATGGAACAGCGTCAGAAGTAGCTGGGCCAATACTACTCTTAAATTTCTCATAATCAAAGCCAGCACGATACTCTATCTTAGAAAATACTTCAGATGAGCAAGAGGGTGTAACTTCACCTAGATTAGTTGAACCGGGGGATGGAAGGACAAGCCCAGGAGACAAGTGGCCTTGCTCACCATGATCGATGAGCTCAGAATGGCTAAAAATATATATCACAAATAATTAAATGTCTAGGAAAATATAAACGTGAATTTTAAAAAAGATAATCATAAATAAATATATATATATATATAAATTTGAGGATTTTCAGGATGTATAATTTTTTAATAACTTTAAATACTTGTAGGTAAATTAATTCAAAATAAGTACGAAAATAATTAAAATATACTTCATGCCAGTAAAAATCTTTGTGAGTATAACGAAAATTATATATTAACAAAGATACATGTGATGCTTCCATGTCATCTTCCGCAGACAGAGAGCTCCAGACATGAATAATAGAAACAAATATTAGATGTAACTACATCATACAAGTGCACGCCAAATTGAAGAGATATAATTAATCAAGTTGCGCAAAAAATTCATTTAAAACAAGGATAAAAGGCAAAAACTGTAAAATAATCATTATTGCGTTTTAGGTGTCAGATAAATGACTAAAAGGAGTTTAAGTCTAATTAGGAAAAACCAGATTTAAAAATACGCTGGAGGAAGCAAAGGTTCATGATTTTGAGATCAAATGCAACTAGCCTCGAGACTGAATAGTTGGATGGTGGCAATGATGAACCATCTAGTAAAGTTGCCTTTAAGGCAAAATCATTTTCTCTTGATTCCTGTTTCTCAGATACAAATAATGCTCCAGTATTTTCACGTGACTCAAAATCCGTGTTAATATTGACATTTACGTCAGACAATTCGCCAGAAGTGGAAACTTGAGACGATGGGCCACGCTGGAGACGCAGCAACTGTCTAGAAGTGGCATTTCCACGAATTGAAAAATCAGGTTTTGCTTCTGCTGTCTGATGAGATCGCAGCTTTTTTCGAGCATCAACTCTAGCCTTTTGCAAGTCAAGCCGAGCCAAGTAAGATCTGGAACGATAAGGACAAAGAAAAGCCGTTTGAAATTTAGAGCAATGACAAAATATCTCAGTGAATATAAATGTGATAAAGGTAATGGATGAGTATCTGGGGTAGGTAAAATAAACAAGCAATAAAAATAAGGGAAATAAATGAATATAAAAATGGAGAAATAGATAAATATGAAATATGAAATATGTACAAAATTGGGTTCCTTTAGTATAGACTATGGCAAATCTTACATACTGAAGGTAGCCGAGTTCTCGTTCATAGTGAGCCAGCATTTGTTGCTGATTGACTAAAAGAGTGTCTGCGCATTCCTGGCAAAGGGGATGATCCGTTTCTGTGCGCCCGCTTAGAATATCAAATAAGTATGCATTCACCTTAAAACAGCAATAGAAAATATAAAAAGTGGATCAAAATAAATGATGATAGTATTATCTGTGTTAAAAATAAGGTATCATGCATATAGATTTAGTTTGACTCATTTGCTTAACAGATTCGAGTTCTTTGCGAATATTGAGTTCGAGACCCATTTTTAGTTTGCAGTAAGCCTAGTAATTAAGTGAGCATAAAAATCTTTTATACAAAGCAAAGAAAACTTATATACCTGAGTAAACCTGAGTCTAATTCTTATATATGAGGTAGTCTCGAAAAACCACTTGTAAAACAAAAAATATAATTCTCATAAAGGTTGTTTGACCTTGTTTTTGCAACATGGTCATATTAGTAGGAAGACTTAGAGAAACGCACCTAGTCCGGAGTCCATTGCATGCATGATCATTTCCAAAGTCAAACCGTGGACATGGTACATTCCCAAACATTTCGCCGGCATCGTCAGTGAGTATCGCTATTCTAAGCACCATACAACAACTCATCAAAGAGACAAGTGAAGCCGATCCTTTTACCAAGCGTGTGCTAAACAGTTGTGGTATCTACCCTTCTGCCCTTCATATCACGCCTTCACTGTTACAATTTTTACCGTTCTTATTTCGATGTAGTGCGGTGTGCTCCATTGAAAGACATGAAACCTTCACACCCCAACTGTCGTTCTCACCCCCCCCCTTCATCCTTGTGCAGGGAATTTTGATCAGTCTGCTTTATTATTATGCAGTACTCTTTCTTATTCTTATGCCAGTCTCTCTCTTGCTAAGTAAAATCCGTTTTCAAGAATCACGTTTATGATCAAGCACGTCTATTGTTAGCCAAATAGCTTTAGTCTCTACCGCGTCTATCCTCTTTCTATCTATAATACCAAACCTATGACTTCCTATGCCCTAGTCTCTTGTGTGCCAACCTACAAATGTTGTGGTTCAACATTGAGCCAAATCAACAAAAGCTGTACCACAACATTTGTGGGTTGGCACACAAGAGACTAGGTCATGGCAAGTCATATACTTAGTATTAGGGATAGAAACAGGACGGCAGGGACCGGATCTAGTTGGCTGACGGTAGGTCTGTTGTACCAGAGACGTGGTACATGTACCAAAGGGGTGACCATGACATTCAGTGGCTTGCGCCTCGAATTAGTCACCCAGACGTAGGGGAGGGCGAATAACGCCTTGAGTAGCACAGATGGGGTTGCAGGGGTCGAGTGAAATTCGTGAACCAGGGA